AATTATTTGATTAATGCATGTAAAGATAAAAAAATCCCAAATTTATGTAAAAAAAATAATCAATTGACGCAATAATATAGTTTTAAATCAGGTAATTGAAATTAATTAATTAAAAATATAATAAATTTTTAATTCTTTACACATAAAACACAAATTATTAGAATAATGCAGGAAAATATAAAAAAAATTACCTATTTATGTAAAATAGGTAATGTAATAACATAGTTATTAATAACATAACTGAAATTAATTTTTATATTTAAAATATGCTGTTAAAGTTTAATTGTGTTTAAAATGTTTTTATTAATTCAAAATAAATTTATTGTGTGTAATTTAAAATCTATTTGATGTAAAAAAATAACTTTTATTTTGATAAACAGCTATATTATTATTATTATTATAATACAAGTTACAGCTGGTAATTCTTATTTATTGTATCATGTGTATAATTTAAGTACGAACTTCGCTTGACTCGTGGCTCAGTGGCAACGTGAGTCGCTGGTGAGCATAAGAGCTGAGGTTCAATCCACTGGCGGCGAAAAACGAGGAGACTCGAGAGCGTATGGGTGTTAAGCATCTCGCCACGGGAGTCGGACTGCCTGGTGGAGTTTTCCGGTTTTCTCCCATAGGATACGTAAAAGCGGGCTAGTTACCCCTAAAAGTTCTCCCGGAAGGCACTTCCCTCCTTCTTCAGTGACACGGAGCAGAAGTCAGACTTTTTCCTATGGGGTGCTCCATCACAACAGAAGCTGCCCCCCCTTCCATGAGGGATTCGACAATAACAAATACGAATTTCGAAATATGACACTTCTTTTAATGCCCGATAAACATATTTACACGTAAAAAAAAAAAAGACGTTAAAATATAAAAAAATGTGGCAATGAATTATTTGATTTTTTTAAAATTCATTTTATATAATTTGGATTTAACACTAAAGGAAAAATTCCAGATGATCAATTAATTTATACAAATAACAAATAGATTATATTAAGGCAAATGTTTATAAGAAGAAAAAAATAAGAATCAAAACAAGAATCGTAAAAATATTAATATTTGTTTAACCTAGAATATGTTTTGATTTATTTATTTATCTTGCCAATCCTAATTAATTATAATTCACAGAGTGTCCCAGTGTCCGCATTTAACAGGCGTATTCGAGGTCAGGCATCAAATGCTGCATATACTGACAGGATGAAAAATTTCCTCAAAGCAGAATTGAGGGTGAAAAGGATAAATGCAGAATCATATTTATCTCATAAAATTTTCCAATGATTATACGTCCCTATTTCCAAAGGAAAACAATTTTAAAATAGCAATTGATAATGATATTAGTGCAAATTAGTATCTAAAGTAAAAAATTTCAAGAATATATTTTGTTTATTCATAAGCACTTGACCAAAAGATGCTAAAGATTCAGCACTGCCCAGGATGTCTTCTATATTGTACTCATTAGGAAAAAAAGGGACCAGGAATGCTTCCACAGGTAAGAGCAATTGCCTCATGCATGTGTTGAAGGGAGGGAAACCTTAAAAATGACAACATATTTATCTTGAAGCATGTTGCCAAATATCGCATCTATCAAGTCTACAACAGCTTCTTTTGCCAACGGTGATTCACCTCCAGTGAGATAGACAAAAGACGAACTACATTGCAATAGATCAAGAAATACGTGAGCCAATGAGCATAACTAAAAACGTGTAGTACAATTTTTCGCTTAATCCATGAAAGTTAGGTGCAACAACATAATTAAAGTTAAGTACGATAACAAAACTTTATTAATTTTATTTTAATTCATTATCTGAAATCTCCTTCATTAGGATTTCATGGCTTCAGTATATTTACATTCCCCGATTTGAAAATCAAAAGAGATTTTGACCTAGTGTCTTTTATCAACACTGGAGCGCCTTCTCCATGTTTTTCCCCAATGTAACACGTGAAAAGCTTTTTGGAAAGCATTATTCATTCCCTCTCCTCACCATACTAGGTTTGGTTTGTCACTCTACGGTCATTTTGTGGTCACTTTGGGCTCATTAGACCGGGATCTACAGTTTAACGGGGATTCCGAACCACTCACAAACATCCATGCCACCGCCTGGATTCGAACCTGAAGCCTGGGGTACCAAAGACCAGAGCGCTACCCAATTGGTCATCAGACCGTCACCATCCTAGAAGAAATGGTGCTCACCGAAAATATGCTTCACATTATAAAATAGCCAACAAGTTTGGCAAATTAATGAGCACGTCAATAATGTAATCCCCTTAGATTAAAACAAAATAAAACTTTATATGAGAGTTTCGATTTTTTTTTCTATTATAAAAATACGTAAAATTCCTAAGAATCCTATAAGCTTTAAAGAGATCATAATGTAAAAGCGCTCATTTAAACTCATTTAAAAATTTTATAATAAAAAAGAAATATAAAGAGCGTTTTTACAATTCGAAAACAGTAAAATTAGCTGTTACTATTGATGTGATTGCATGATACTGAATCAACATCAAGCTGATCATTCAAAATTCTTAAAGTGATCATAATTAAAAAATAAATGAATAAAGACGTTTTAGCAATTCGAAAACAGTAAAATTAGCTGTTACTATTGATGAGATTTCATGATACTGAATCAACATCAAGCTGATCAAAAATTTTAAAGTGATCATAATTAAAAAATAAATGAATAAAGACGTTTTAGCAATTCGAAAATTAAAATTAGCTGTCACTATTGATGTGAACTGAATCAACATCAAGCTGATCATTCAAAATTCTTAAAGTGATCATAATTAAAAAATAAATGAATAAAGACGTTTTAGCAATTCGAAAATAGTAAAATTAGCTGTCACTATTGATGTGATTTCATGATACTGAATCAACATCAAACTGATCATTCAAAATAATTGTTCATTGGATTACATACTGAATCTCAATGAACAACAAAAGAACTTGCTTAAAATGGTTCACACTGCTAAGTCATAAATACATTTCATCCATGCAAAAGATACACTCATCTATTTCACCTCCATATTGAAACACCTCTCACAACAACGCCGTTACGTCAATAATTTTCCTGGATTAAGCAAGGCAAAAGACGTTTTAACAGTTCGAGAATAGTAAAATTAGCTAAAACCTCTTTATGATATTTATATATACATATATATAAAATAAAGACATTTTAACAGTTAGGAAACAGTAAAATTAATGTGATTGCATGACACTAAATCAACATCACGCCGATCATTCAAAATAATTGTTTATGTACTGAAGCTCAATAAACAATAAAAGAACTGATTCATTGCTTAAAATGATTCACACTGCTAAGACATAACTCCATTTCATCCATGCAAGAGAAATAGACTCATCTATTTCACCTGGATCTTGAAACAACCTCTCACAACAACGCCGTTGCCTAAATACTCTCTCAAATTAAGCAAAAAACACTCTTCCCGATTCAAGTCGAGGGGATTGCCTCTCGACCTAAGTGAGAGAGGCAAAGCGGGTCATCCGCTTGACCTCTGCCCCCACTTTGCGAGCGCGAATTCCTCCCCGATCGGAAGGAAGGCCGAAAGCGAGAGTGGAATGTAGGTTAGCGTCACCTCAGGCGGTGCTTCCGCGTCGGTCGGGAATGCCATCTAGGATGCGGTTTTGCAGACGGCATGACGGAGCTCTCTGGTATGCTCCCCGCTCTATCCCGTTTCTTCTTTTGTTTCGGGATGGGGAAGATGATGCTGCACTTTAGTTTTGCCGTCGGGGGGATTGGATTACGAGTGGAATTTTAAAAGAGAGATGGGTAGGATAAGACACAAAAGGAAGTCTCAAAATTTGTGTGGGAAAAAAAATTATAGTTTAAGAAAACTAAAAAACACGCTTTTAGAGTTAATCAAACTAAAAAGTAAAAAATGATTGTTAACATAAGAATAAAATGACTATTCTAAAAGCGTGGGGTGCTTTGTATGACATTTTTAAAAACTCTGCATTTCGGAATGAAACTAGTGAAAAATGATAACGATTGATATCGAGCACCCCACGCTTTTAGAACAGTGACATTCATTTTCTCGTCAGTCATTTTATTCTCATGTTAACAATTATTGTTTACTTTTTAGTTTGATTAACACTAAAAGCGTGTTTTTGAACTATAATATTTAAATGAGGTCCCGGTACAGAGGACGGGAACTATAGTTCCTAAAATAATTTAATTGTGAGTAAAACAAAGGCTAAATGCGAATAGGTCGAGCTAGCCAGGATTCGAACAGGGAATCTCCTGATCCGTAATCAGGCGCGTTATCCGTTGTCCCACGTAGGTTCGAATGTCTTTCATTCTACATGGGTTAAATTGCTCTTCATAAGTTAAAATAAAATCACTCATCCTGGCTATCCTAATCATGAAGAGATAATAAACTTATGAAAATATTTTAGTGTCGTCGGTCCTTGATAAGTCTAGAACGTTTAAATTAAATCTACATACAGGTGAAACTAATAAAAGCTGTTAAAAAAGGGGGAAGTTAGGTATGTTAAATGGGAAAAATGCCAGTTAATTTTTAATAAGCTAGGAGATTCTTCTACCTTACCCTTCTGTTTTCTTTGAAGTTTTCGTTTAATGAAATGCTTCATCAGCAGAGGGTTCGGTTTGTTGCTCTCTACGATCATTTTGAGCACACTTTAGACTAATTAGACTGGGACCTTCGGATTAACGTGGATTCATAGCCACTACTACTACTACACCACACATCACTGTGCCTAGAGCTAAATTGCCCCTTTTCAGTTTGGGAATGATGTGAGAGAAGTCTGATTGGGCTCCGTGACGCTCTACGGTCATATGAGATCGGGGTCTTAGAACCACTACCACTACAAACATCCATGCCACAGCCAGGATTTGAACTTGATTAACCAATTAGCCTCCAGGCTGCCATCAGCAGATAATGCGAATACTAAAGTTTCGACTGATGACAATAGATAATAGCTATTATTATCTGTCAATATATTAATATAATAATGTCAAAGTATTAATATAAACGGCCGTACCATGCTGAATATACGGGTCCTCGTTAGATCACCGAAGTCAAGCATCATTGGGCGCGGTCAGTACTTGGGTGGGTGACCACCTGGGAACACAGTGTGCCGTTGGCATTCACAAATTTGGGACCTGAATGGCCGTGTGTCTGGCGCTCGGTTCCACAGGTTTCGGGTTCGAATCCCGGCGGTGCCATGGATGTTTGTAGTGGTTCGGAATCCACTTTAAGCCGTAGGTCCCGGTCACCTATGACTGTAAAGGTTCGTTTCCACCGAGGCGAGAGACGAAGATTCAAGAGGCAAGCGACAAAATTTTTTCGACCCCTTCACAGCGAAACGTCAGAAATAGCATTACACCTAGTGAAAAACCGCTTCGAGTTGAAAGTTGGGCAACTCCAAGCGGCAAACTGCAAACCGGTTTCAGGCGACCGCGGTGAGGCTAGTGATTGGTCAAATTTTTTCGCTTGCATCTTCTCGACTTGGTGAGCACGAGCCTTAAGAGTGTCACGGAGCCAAAGTCAGACTTCTACCTACGGGTGCACCATCACGACAGAAGCTGCTTCCTACCCCTTCAATCATGAGTACGCATGGGCTCGTGGGCTAGGCCAGCCAAGTGGGATAAGAAACAACAACATTAATATAATAATATCAAAGTATTAAAATGATAATATCATCATATTATCATATTAATACTTTTGCAACAATATTTTTTTACTATGAATCATTTTGAAGCTGTATTAAAAAATCAGTTGTTCGTTTCACTTGATTGGTGGATTGATGTGATTTTGCAGACGGCACGACGGAGCTCTCTGGTATGCTCCCTCTCTGTCTCTCTCTCCCGTTTTTTTCTTTTGTTTCGATATGAGGAAGGCATGTTGCACTTTATTGTTGCTGTCGGGGGATTGGATTACGAGTGGAATTTTTTTCAAGAAGGATAAGACGCAGAAGGAAGTCTTCAAATTGGTGTGGGAAAAAATGAGGAAGTTAGGGATGTTAAAGGGGGAAAAATGCCAGTTCATTTTTAATAAACTAGGAGATTCCTCTCCGTTTCACTTCTATCTTCTTTGAAGCTTTCGTTTAATGAAATACTTCTGTCACTATGACTATCGGGTTTCTTTCCTTTCGGTGGTTCTATTTTTCTTATTAGCCGCAGCTTTCTAGTGGTTAGAGAAGTATTGATCAATCCATACAAACATTTAGGGAATCTTAATTTATTTACAAACAATATTTACAAAGATATACAGGGTTGATGGTAACATCTCAAAGGCAAAAGCTAAACGGGAAGAAATATTTTCTTTTTTAGAATAAAACAACTCGTTCCACAGTAACAGCTGGTCTCCACGGCAACAGCCCGTTTCCACAACAACCAGCAGCCCATCTCCACGGCAACAGCGCAATTCTGAATCGGTTCCAAACGATTTCTATAAAACTACCACGTGACGCTGCGTGGCGCGAACTAAAGCATAAAAATTCCAACAACAGTGTCTACAACAATGCAGGCAGTGGATGGAACTTCCGCCCTAATGCTCAGCAGCGGCGCACTTTGCACTTTATTGTTGCTGTCGGTGGGGATTGGATTACGAGTGGAATTTATTCAAGAGAGATGGGTAGGATAAGACGTAAAAAGGAAGTCTCAAAATTTGTGTGGGAAAAAATGGGGATGAATGCAAAATGGGAAAAATGCCAATTCATTTTTAATAAACTAGAAGACTCCTCTCAATTTCTCTTCTGGTTTCTTCGAAGTTTTCGTTTAATCAAATGCTTCTATTGTGATAGAGCAATCTTGTAGGTAGAAGTCTGACTTGGCTCCGAGTAGCTGAAGAAGGAGGGCAGGCCTTCAAGGATTACTTTAAAGGAGAACTACCCCACATTTACATATGGTATGGGAGAAACCCCGGAAAACTTCCATCAAATAGTCCGAACAAGATGCTGAACATTCCAAACGTCATTGAGCCTCCTCGTTTTTTGAAGCAGTGTATACAACAAAGTCTCTAGCAAATTGAACCTCCACCCTAATGCTTGGCGCGCGTTGCCACTGAGCCACGAATCGGGCTTAAAACTGCTTTGAGTCAGGCTTGAGCTTATGTAATAGAGGAGTAAAATTTTTAAGCAAAATAAAATCTTTTTTGCAGATATTATTTATATATAACAGAGAGACTATACTTAGTACAGATGGGTTGAATCTGTATGATTAATTTAAATGATATGAATCATTTCATCGATGAATCATTCGTTTAAAAAAAAAAAAAAAATCGTAGCAATGACTCACTAAGCGAAACTAGATATACATGATTTGTAAAAGACTGGCCTTCGTATTAACAAACGAATCAGCAAATTCAAACGATTGATGAAATAGACTAGAATTGGTGAATTTTGAAATTGCTTTGTGAGCTTACATAATAGAGAAGTAAAAGTCATAAGCTTGATAAAATCTGTTTCGCAGATATTGTTTATATATAATAGAGAAACTATACTTGGTACAGATGGGTTGAATATATAGGTTGAATTCACATGATTAATTTAAATGATACGAATTATTTTTTATTTCACCAATGTATACAATACGAATCATTCGTTTAAAAAACGATTCGTACTATTAACTTACGAAACCAGACATACACGATTTGTAAACGACTGACCTTCATATTAACAAACTAAACAACAATTTCAAACGATTGATGAAATAGACAAGAATTAGTAAATTGTTTTGGTAATTGATAGAATTGATAAAATATAACATATGTTAAGCTGTATCATATAAAAACACACCATTCATATATAAGATATTAATATATTATTTGTACTTAATAAACAAAAGATATATTTGTATAATATAATAATTCTTGTATTTTAAAATTCATATTTTACACGAATTTCCTATCAAACGATCAGCCATTTTTGTGATTCATCTTTTATTGCTGTCTATCCTTACTTTATAGCTATTGTGGAAAATTATACGCATTGAAAAATTCATTCCTACAAATTAAGTAGACAGGTAACAGCCTGATCCAGTGTATTATAAAATCATGAAGTGATATAGTATAAAATGGCGCATATACTTTTCAGTAGTTAAGCCAAGGTTTGTTGTTGTTGTTGTTGTTATTTTTATAAACCCAAGATTAAAGCGATTTATGATAATGAATTAACAACTGAAAGCTGCATTTCAATATATTTTTGATATATTATATAAATAAATTTATTACATAATTTTTTTTTTTTTAGTAAAAATAAAATATTTTTCATATTAATTTTCATGAATTTCATGCTTTTTTTAATTTTATAAAAATGTAGATGTGAAATCGAAAAATTATTTTATATATTTTAATATTTTGTTGTAATATTTTTATAAAAAATAATAAAAATTAAATTAAATCAGTTATTACAAAAAGTAAGAAACATTAAAATTTTATATGAAAAGGAATTGAATTACATAATAATTATCGCAATCCAAACCCAAATTGTATATTAAATAAACAATCATGATGTTCAAATATTCAACAAAGTTTAAAAAAAAAAAAAAAAAAAAAAAAAAAAAAAAAACCCATAACATCATTTGAACCCTTAAATACTATTGTGTACACATTATAACAAAAGAACATATTATACAAGCATATTTATAGCCAGTATTTCATGATATATTGACAATGCACGAGTTATACATGATGCAGGCAATAAAAATACTGCTTTAAATTTTAAAAAATCAGAAAAAATTCGTATATCACTTTAAAGCAGTATAAAAAAATAATTTGAAAATTTACTTAACATCTTCAATTTATTTTTCAATAACGTCTTATATCAAACTTCAAATTTTTACAATAGAAATACAAGTAAACAGATGTTATTAATTTTTTTTTAACAAAATGGAGACATAAATAATAGAAAATTATGAAAGCGAGACAATCATTTTTGTCAATTCATATATCTTGTTTTATCTATCTATTTATATGTATGTATAGATAAAATATTAAAATTAATAGGAAAAAAAATTAATACATTTCAAAGTTACTAAGCAAACGTGCATTTATCATTGTTTATTCGAGAGAGATGAAATAAATTTGGTAGTGGCGCCATCTTCTAGCTATTTTTTAAACTATCTTTAAATTGCATGATACGTATCGAAAATTTTTCATTGTAATATTCTTACCTGCTGCTAAATGCTAAGGCTAATTGGTCGATAGCATCAAAAAAGTTGGACGGATCAGACTTGTCGTCTTCATAGTTATAACCTGAAATAGAATGAATAAATCTCTTTTCAACTATTCTACAAAAGACCAACCAGAAATATCAAGTTTTTAAACAATCTAATACAAAAATTATTATAAAAATAAATATTATAAAAGTAATAAAATCGTTAAAAAAATAAATATTATAAATATTAATAATAAAAGTAATAAAATCTTTATAAAAAGTAATAATAAAAGTAATAAAATCATTATAAAAAGTAATAATAAAAGTAATAAAATCATTATAAAAAGTAATAATAAAAGTAATAAAATCATTATAAAAAGTAATAATAAAAGTAAAAAAATCATTATAAAAATAAATAATATATTCATTTACTTTTTTAAAAATATTATAAAAAATAAATAAATTTAAAAGTAGCTGATTATTAGTTTTATCAAGGAAAAACACACTAGCTTATTTTCTAATAGAATCAATTTTTCTACTTAATACTTCAAGTTTTAACTAAAACCAAAAAGTCCTTTAAAATTAACTAACCAACGAAAATTCCCTTACACCATTAATTTTGAATTGCAAACATTCTTCAATCATATTAAGGATATGGCTTTTTTTTTTTTTTTTTTTTATCTAAGTATAATAACTGAGTTAACCATTATTCTCTAGAATTTTATTTTATTCATTCGTTTATTTAACAAAAAAAAAAAAAAAAAAAAAAAAAAAACAATGAACAAAAATAATATTAAAAAGCATTTGACCGACTCTTGGTCTAACTGTGAAGAACGCAATAAACATGCAAGAAGAGAGATAGGTTTGATTATGCAGGTGGAGTCTATTGTACACAACTTTCAGAAACGAGAAGACCCCATGGCCATTGCGATTAAATTAATAAGACCTTTCGCATTGAAAATTAGGCAAACTAATGAGAATTTTC